TTTGGTAATGGCCTAAAGACACTTCGACGTTTGTACAAATATGAGACAATGCCCACTCAAGACAGCTATACAGAACAAATTCCCAGTAGAATTGTCGGTTTTATAAAGGTCATTGGCCTTCGCAATAAATGGAAAATTCCGTTGTTTCAATCTGAAGTAAATTGTCATTTTAAAAACAGAGATTTTACCATGAAATTGTAACCTTAAAAAAAAAAAACCCAATTGACTTAAACCAAACCGTGCTTCGAACTGTTGTGAACGCAACCAATGTGTGTTTCGCGCGCTCATATGATCTTATGCCGTTACGAGCGCTCATATGATCTTATGCCGTTACGAGCGCTCATATGATCTTATGCCGTTACGAGCGCCATAAAACTCCTACTAAACTAACGGAACAGACACAATGCAAAGTCCACTAAAGACTGCTATAAAGAAAGCCATAATATAATGGGTTTTTTTTTTTTTTTTTTTTTTTTTAGAGTAAGCAACTATGCAGTTGCGAGCGCCGTAAAACCTCTACTACTACTAAGAGTAAGCAACTGTAGTTCTATAATTATCCTAAAATACCCTCTTCTTTTAGTTTAGTTTTAGTGTGAGTTTTACAGTGCTTGCAACACAAATAGTTCAAAATATACAAGTGTGCCAAAGATTAGAAGTGTTACAAGAGAGAGAGAGAGACATGCAAATGAAAGGGGAGAGGTAAGGACGTTAGATGTTTGATAGGACAAAGGACCAACTCCATTTCGCTGGCTGGGTACAAGAACCCTACAAGTGCCAATTTGCAAATTGGCACTTGTAGGGTTCTTGCACCCAGCCAGCGATTTGAGCACCCGCCAACCACCCACACATCATCTGTAAACCAGTAGAACAAACACATGCCAGAGAACCAGGTTTGGGGGATACGAGAGAGTGCATCAGTTGGCATTACAGGGAAATGTCTAAAGCATCCCCCACCCCCACCCCATCCCCACCCCCACCCCCAAATTGACACCGTTTAATTAACTCATTTACGGGGTGGCGGTGAGGCTCCAACATTTGAAGCGCCAGTTGACAACATTTAGCTGATTAAAGAGTTGGATGTTTGTATTTGAAGAGCCCACGGGCAGTCACAAACAGAAAATAAAATCGAAAGGGTTTCAATTTTGAACTCGTGTTGACTCATAACTGTATTTCTGTTCAGCTGTTGGTTGATTATTATAGTTAGATTTCCCACCCAACAAACATATAAAATAAACCACCAATCAAACAATAAATATGAAGTTGAGTCCACAAGCTTTTAAAATTGACACCCTCACACTTTCCGGTTTGGGACTATGCCCGTTTTTTTCAGTGGATTCCTCATTTCTTAGGAGGCTCCAATTTAGATTGTTTGGGAAAAAGGATCTGAACCCATTTAGGAGACTGGCTGCTTCAACCCTGCCGAATTCGTTTCAAAGGAGTCCGATTATTTCTAGCTACTTATCGTAGTTTTGAAGAAATCGTGCCCTATGTTTAAATATATCTAAAATATAGCATTACATCACTGATGCCAAATGTCCCACAGAAATAAAAACTAAGAATTGCAATGGCTAAAGATAATTTCAATGAAATCTGATGAGCCCAATCGATAAAAATAGAAACATCTCAATGACTACCCCAATAAAAGGCCATGTTTGGTCAACACTTCAATACGGCTGTGAATGCTGGACAATTACTAAAGACAGTGAAAATAAAATGAAAGAAACAACAAAAAAAGTTTCTTAGAACACTCTTGACTTTTTTTGGAAGGAAAAGAAATCAAATGAGGCAGTACT